AAGGGATTTATGTTAAATTGCTGGCTTCAGCAAACACAGAACCAACCTGGAGGCACACTCTCAACCCAGATCTCAAACGAGATCCACAGCTAACTGCCCCTTGAAGATGAACTCACAATGCAAAACTTCAAACACACAGGCCAGGAACATCCACCAGGAGCAGAGTCGGCAGACACGGCAGATAGCGGGATTCAACTCTATGACCTTCCGATGATGGAATTGTCAGACACTGTAAAAGACGCGTGTTCGAAATTATTAAAGGCAAGCAAACATGAGAAAAGAGTAAGTCACCGTCATAAAAGACCACACATATTTAAAAAATAATAAAACTTTTAGAAATGAAAAATTAGTCATTGGAGTAAATTTCACGTGTAGAAAAGTGCCTCTTTTCAAAGAAAACCCCAAACACTAATCCATATAAAAGACTGTGATAATAATCTCTAACAACTGGCAAATCAGAGAAGCATTTCATGTTCTCAGAAATTCTTAAATTCCTGGAAAGTAGGGTCAGTTTAAATCTCTGGCTTTCAAATTTTATCCCAAAGTTGGCTCTGATTTTCTGTCTCTGTTCTTCTTTACCCTCCCCTCCCCTTCCCCCCTCCCCCTCCTTCCTCTTCTTCTCCCTCCTCCCTCTCTTTCCTCCCTCCTCCCTCTCTTTCCTCCCTCCTCCCTTTTCCTGCCTGTGCCCTTCTCCTTCTCCCTCTCGTCCCCTGTGCTAAGGGAAGTACTTTGCTCTTTAATTTTCTGCATCTCTTGTTTTTGGGGTCTGATCTTCACTCACGACAACACAGGTGCCTTCAGATTAGGGGCAGCAGTCAATGTCCTCTGAGAAGTAACAGGTGCATTGTTAAAGGAAATCGCAATGAACCAGTGAAGCGACACACATTTTTATTGCAACAATCCACTTGAATTCCCAGTTTGATAAATCACCTATCTTCAAGTAGCACAAACCAGTGGGTAAAATGACACACTTAAATTTTAATGATGCTTGGGATTTTTAGTATAACAGGGTTTCCATCGCTAAAGAATACATTTTATTTCAAGAGTAGTGACTCTGCCTTCTCATTTCATTGCCATTTGGACATAAAGGTAGACTTTACTAAAAAAAAAAAAAAATCATACTACAGATTCGGTTACCTATTTTTAACCTAAAGTATAGTGAGTAGATCTTTGTTCAGTTCCCCTCAGGCAATGCTGCTGAAGCCACCTGTCTGCTAGTTGAAAGAGCCCACCCCCCTGCCCTGAGCATCCAGGGTCAGATTTTGGGATACAAGAAAGAAAGGCACCCTTGGCTGAGCAAGGAAAGATTCTAATAAGAAAGCATATGACAAAATTAATTATTCGGTGTAGACCCCGTGTGGCTCAGAGAACCTAAGAGGCTGACGGTGTGAGGGGCGGTCATGCTCGCCTCCATCCTGATTGCGGAGCCCGGACCACGCCCGGCGTGTTTCAAAACCTAGAAGCTGCTGTGGGGGGAACAAGGGCACCTCTGGGGTCCCCCAGCTTCCTTCTCTCCGCCCGGTTGGTGGTTCTCGTGGCGGCTGAAGTTCAGGGGCTAGATGCCCGCTTGCCCGCCTCGCCTCCTGGGTAAGAGCCGCGCGGCGGGTGGGGCTGTCCGGGACCCCGGGCGCCGGGCTCCGGTGGCACGAGCGTTGCCGCGGTCACTCCACTGCTGCAGCTCCCGCACATGCCGTGTCGCTCCGTGTGTGTCCCCAGCTTGTGCAGATGTCTGTCCTGCGTTGTCACCTCAGGCAGAGGTCTCGTTTCCACTAAACCCCTTCCTTTATCCCACCAATCAGCTCAGGGGCCCCCCCGTTTTACCTGAGCAGAGTGTATCGATAGAGGAGCTACAGGGTCAGCTCGTGCAGGCGGCCAGACTGCATCAAGAGGAGACAGAGACATTTACAAACAAGATCCGGAAGGTAAATATCTAACTCCGATTTCAGCACGACTGCTGCTCGGACGGCACAGCCCTAAGGAGAAATGCCAAGATGCATTTTCAAAGGATGCTGTCTGTCGCACACAGGCTGCTAGGCTCATGGGCTCATACGTGGAAACCCAGTCGAGCTGCCCCCTCTCGGATGCCCCGTAAAGATAACTGTCTGCCTTTCTGCTCTGTCACATGCTTTCAGTACTTACATTGTGGTCTCAGGAAGGTCCTCCTCACATCTAATCTGAGCTTCCCTGCAGCACACTAACATAAATAAGGGCCTAAATGCAACTGGACAGGAAAGCTCGTGTCACCTTTGTCAACGGTGGGTGAATTTTCTGGTAGAAACATCAACAGCTCACCCTAAACCATTGTCTTCAAAAAGCTGCCACTGCTTTAGCTGTAGCCTGATTAACTTCTATGATGCTAGAATAACCTGTGACTGGCTAATTACCCTTTATCCGCCAGACCCTTTCACAGAGTGCCTAGTAGAAGGACTCACAGATGCACAACTCATCACCCTCGGCCTCCCTGAGGACGGTCCAGTCCCTGCACCCCAAATCTAATTAAGTCGTAAACAGATATCTGGGTTCAGAATTGGCTGTAGCTCCTCTTCCCCTCTTGTATTTGTTGTTGAAAGACAGTGATGTCTTTAAAATGAAACAAAACAAAGCAGTTGATCTTGAACAGGACGCCGCCTCGGTGTTTTAAAAATGCATATCCTGTGCAAATAAGATACTGAGTGTATCCAAGATTAATTTTGGCAAGGAATGTGTGCTACCATAAGCCCCCACATTGACCATGGCCATGCGATCTAAATGGGTCACGAACTGATTAAGGGAGCATCTTCTGCCCCTTACAGTTCAGGGAAGGCAGAGTTGAATGTCAAGGTCTAAATATTTTCTGCCAGCTTCTACCACTAGATGCACACCCCTTTTTAAGTGTTTGGTTTATAGGTCAAATTTCACATCATTACCAAAGGAAAATAATTTCATATTACTTGAATGATAAATTCCTAAGTAAAAAAAAAAATTTCTTTTTTCTTTTGCATTGCACCAAAAATTGCTTGAAAAGTGAGTTTATCACTGGAGATGCTGATAACAAAATGGCGGGGTCCCAGGTGTTTCTGATACTTGGATTCAAAGCAAAGGAGTGTGTTGAAGAGGCTTTGGAGGTGGAGATACGTCCTCCAGGCTTGTTCAGAAGGGAAGAGAAGGTGTCCCTTACCATAGGAGGGCAGAGGACTGAGCTCTGAGACGTGGGAGGCAACTGGAGCGGTGGAACAGAAGGCAGCGGAGGGGCAGTGGAGGAGAAGTCAGAGAGAGGAAGGAGCCTTCCAGGAGGGCCTGGACGGTGCTCCAGAGGGAAGGACCCAGTGTCTCGGTGCCTGTGCCCAGCCGCACGGGGGAAGGAGCAGGAATGAGCTTCGTGTCGCCCCTGAGAAGGCTGACCTTTCCCAGCGAGAGTCAGCTGGCTAAAACATGCAAAAGAAAATAAAATTTTAGGACTCTAAGTGTATTATATCAAGGGAGAAATTAAATCCTAAAGACTAGGTCATGGAACATGTTTGCAGTTTTGTTTCTTGGGTTACAGATCAAGTCCTCCCTCATGATTCTCGTTCTGTAAAGGAGAGACCAGAGACCAGACCTCCTCCCTTTTAATTACCAATCTTTGTTGCAGAGTAACTGGCTCCTTTATTGTCCTGTACCTAACTCAGACCAGATGGTGCAAAAGACCCCATGTCTATTACATCTTGAGTGTGAAATGTTCTATGTACCTTTCTCCAAAAAGGACCACCTGGACTAATCAGTAAGAAATTGCAGACACTGAATGTCTGGGGTGCCCAGCTGCCCTCCCCACTGGTGCTCCCTTGAGTCTGCAGGGGAGAACCAGTGGTGGAACCCCGAGGGCTGCTGAGATGGCGCATAAAATCGCCCCCATTTTCTGTTGTTTCAGCCTGAAGGACAATAAAGATCAGCTGTTACCAGCGGCTGTGCAAGTCATTGCCCAGACCCATGGACCTTTCCAGAGCCGCCTCTGACTTGTCACTGGCCTCAGACAGCCACAGTCCTGTTCCCATGGTTTCTGAGAATTAATCTAGTACTTTAAGGGGAAAAAAAAATCCCTGCCTTGGTTTTTGGCATAAAAGAGAGTGTTAAATTGGGAGAGAACAGCTGCTGACTACCGTAAGGTTGGCATTGGAACTTTTTATTTTGGTCTGTGAAACACAAAGCTTTGATCCGAGTATCACTTTAGCTACCATAGATATTAGTCTTTTGCCCTTATCTGCAAAATAAGCTTTTATTCACCCTTTCGCATGGTTAGTTGTTTGTTGCTTGGAAGAGTGCCTGTACCTGTAGTGTTTAAAACACGGGAGCTTAACGTGGAGATGTAAGACATTTCTTTTTCAGCAATGTTTTTATTTCCCTAAGAGATACCCATATCCAATAGGAAAACTAAGTCTTTAATTGTGGAAGTAGGTCATCAAACCTACTTTCCTGTTTGCTGCCCACTGTGTGCAGTCAAGTCTCGCATGGGAGGGAAGAATTCCTTCTGGCCCGACCTGAGTGCTCCCATCAGCCCTGAGTGCTCCCGTCCGCGGCTGTGCTCTTCTGTCAGGGCTGCAGGGAGCCAGGGGCCCAGGAGGTAAAGGGGAAGGATTTCCACTTCCGTTCTTCTTTACAATTGTCATGCGCCTTTGAGTGCCTTGTACAGAGAGGAAATGGAATCCACTTGAATGGAACTCAAGTCCACTGTAAACCATGCATCCCAGAAAGAGTTTTCCTGAAGGAGTTTTAGAGACATCTGAAAACACCATGAGAGACATGACGATGAAAAATGGTTATAGTACCTTACTTTGAAATGGCACTTGCTTCCGAAGCACAAAACTTACGAGGTTTTTTAAATAATAAACATCTCAAGTCATTAATCAAACTAAACATACCGGGGCTTCACATCCCCTAATGCAACGTACTGTAGATTGAATGGCAATTTGCAAAGACCCTTGGCTTGGTTTGGGTGGCCAATTAGAATAGCTGCTTGTCACAGTTTCTCTTTCCTTCCGTTCAAGATGGAGGAGGAGCACCTCTACGCCTTGAGGTGGAAAGAACTGGAAATGCACAGCCTGGCCTTGCAGAACACCCTGCACGAGCGAACCTGGAGTGACGAGAAGAATCTGATGCAGCAGGAGCTCAGGTCACTGAAGCAGAACATTTTCCTCTTCTACGTCAAACTCAGGTGGCTGCTGAAGCACTGGCGGCAAGGCACGCAGATGGAGGAGGAAGGGGAGGATCTCACCGAGGTAACTGCCTGCAGAGTCCGTTGTACTTGCAGCTGTTGTGTTCTTGACCCCAAGCACTGCTGTTCCCCCACCCACCCTACACGCAGTTGGGTCCTATTATTTTAAATTATTTTGTGTCAATTTGAATCTGAGCAACAGAAATGCAATGGCTTGTCCAGTTACGTAGCAAAGCAAGAAATCCATGCTGTACTCCGACCGAGTCTGGCGAGTGCCCTGCCCCGCAGCTCCGTCCCGCGCGGCTCTGCCGCCGCCTCCTCTGCTGGTTTATCCACTGGAGTCGTCACCCCGAGGCCCTTCACCACCACACCCAGCCTTGCTGGTTCTGAAACTTCTGCTCTTCTTCCCATTCAGTTTTTGTTCCCAGATGTGAGAGCCCATTCTGCCCACACGGGTTTACAAGGGTCTCTTCTAAGCTCAGATGTGTCACTTTGCCACCTCTGAAATTTGTATTTGTTTTTCTTCTTATGTCACAATTCCCGGATTTATAACCCACAGAACAGAGTTCTTTGCTTTCTGATTGATTGGTATTGATTAAGCGAGGGTGGCCTCTTGCTCTGCAGGCCCCCTGGCCTCGCTTGCTGGGAGCCCAGGGCGGGAACTGCTGGTGCTCAGTGTGCTCGGTGCACCCACACCCTGCTACTGGGTCAGCTGCTTAAAGGGACTGTGAACACTTGGTTTCTCTCTAGCCCTCAGAGGCCTTCTGTCTGCTTTTCACTCTGGTGAACGGTGTATGTAATTTTAAGTTCCCATCCTAGGAATGGGAAGATACAGTGATTCTCCTTCCTCAGGGTGAAGAAAGTGCTCAAAAATTAATTGAACCAGCTTTCCAAGTGTCCATGATACAGAAATCACTGTTAAGCAAAGCCTAGAAGTAGTTGCAGAATTTCTTGCTGATCAACACTCTGGACTTCCTCCTCCTGTAATTTATAAAACCATAGCTATAAGCAATACTAGTTTGTAAATAGTAAAATTTTTCATTAATCTTTTCAAATAAATTGAAGACCCACCCTGTGCTATTTAAACGGAGCGATTGCCAATGAGCGAAATGGCCAAAATGAGCATTTTAGGGGAAAGGACTGCGAAGCAGAGGACTTGATAATCCATAAAGTGGATAATTATCCTCAAACGTGGAAATCAGGCTGTGCAGCAAAAGGATTCGGGTGAAGCTGTGACCATCATCTCCTGCTGGTTTCAGGGCGAGCATCCAGAGACCCTCCCTGGGCTCGGCGAGCTTGGAGTCCAGGGGGGTCACCAGGCAGGCGGCCCAGACCGGGATGATGGCGATCGCAGCTGTGGCTTCCCGGTGGGGGAGCATCCCCCGCACTCCCCGGTGCAGACTGGAGACCATGGCTCGCGGCTGCAGACCGTGGACAGGGGACAGCTCCACAGGCAGGTGGGTGCCGAGATCCGAGCCGTCGTTCTACCCACACCTGGGAGAACCCCATCCGTGTTCGTGTCGTCTTATTTCAAGTGCTGGTGTTCCAGGTGGCAGGAAACTCCTCCGCCCAGTGTGGCTGCCTGTTGCCATTTGTATTGCTGGATTTTTGCTAGAAATCGTATCATTAACCCTTTTATTTGGTTTACCCATATAACTAAGGACCACAGTAAGATCAGATCAATGGAGGGCGTCCCTCTCGGGGTCAGCGAATTTACCTCAGAAGGAATGCCATCAGCAGTAGCATTAATTTGGCAGCATAACATTTATGGAGAAAAGAACAAGTATTTTTTTTTTAAATCCTCAAACATATATAAAGTATTTCTGGTTCTCTTTGGCACACTTGAAACATAATCCCTGAAATAAAAGTATTTGATGACACTTTGAAAAAATAAAGCATGTATAAAGAGAGGTTGGATTTCAGTGTTATTAAGTAATTATCAGTGTTGCCAAACACCACAGAAATAGACCCTGCTTAATAAATTCAAAGACACTATTGATAACATCCAGATTTTTTGCATTTTTATACAAAATGGCAGCTGTGGTGGGGGCTTTGGCGTATGAACTCCTGAGAAAGACTCTATTAAAGCTTTCTCGCTCGCAGACTTCGGAGTCCCCGCTGACCCTGCTTTGCTCTCAGAGGGCTCCTGAGGCCGCGGCGTCCCGCCCTGGGAGGCCTGTGTTCCGGGCTGAGGGCGCAGGGCCTCGTGGACATGGTGCAGTCATCCGGGCGCGGCTTCAGCCTCTCGGCCACAGCCATTGCGGGGCTCTCCCCCTGCGCCCACCTCTGCAGCTGCTGCTCCTCCGCCCCGGCTCCCTCAGCGCAGAGCCCCGTGTCAGTGGGAGAGGGTTGTCATCAGAACTGGCTCAGATCCAGATGGGGACAGCGGCGGGTGGCAAGCCTCTGAGTGCAGGCTAGGGGGAATCTGCCCACCCCCCGCCCGGCTCGCTGCTCTCTCTGTATATACAAATCAGATTTTCATACCCAAGCAGCTGTTTTCCATGTACACTCATCCACCCTTCGTGTTCCCTGAATAATATGGCTCCGGAAGGAGATTATACTTTCAAAGGAACTTTTGCTCAGTCATTAGGAAGTGTGTCATCACGCCAGTGTCCGTGGGGAGACTTCAGGTCATGGAATAGGTTTTCCAGCAGTGATCTAGTTAGAAACTAAAATGTTACTTTGCAGATAGTGCTTTCAAATCTACGAATTTTATTATTTCAAAAAGAGATGTTGTTAGTCCTGAAAATGTCTGTGCTTAACTCAAATAGTGTCCTGATGGCCACTTCGCCACAGAGCTGCCGCATCTAAGAAAGCGTGTTGGGTGTTTCCCACGCATGCATCCTAATGCTTCGGACAAGGAGACAAATGAAACACATCTGGTTTTCTAAGCAGCAGTCATGGAAAATGTTACCCATGGGGTGGAAAATAATGTAAAGTCGCTCAGCTGGAACCTCGCGTTCAGCATATTTTAATGTCATTTCCCTTTACCTCCCGCTCCTCCCAACACTCACTTGTGGTGATTACCCATAAAGTGGAGGTGGACATGGGAGGTTCCGCTCCGTGCTGTATGCAGTGGAGGCACGTGGATGGGCTCCGGGGCGGGGCCCAGACAGTCAGAACCAAGCCCGCCTCTCGTGGGCGCGCGTGTCCACGGTGCTGTCTGTTCGAGGCCCGGGGATTGATGAGCTCTACTGTAAGCGACAGCTGGTTCTCTGAGAGGGAACATTCCCCTTTAGAGGAGTCACCTCTCCATTAGGGGCACAAGTATTAGCCAGGCAGCTGGGAGGCAAGAGCCGGGACACGTGTCCCACAGAGCTGCCGGGCAGAGCCGGGCTGTCTCAGAAATGCTGAGCGCCTCACAAGGCGATTAGCAGCCTGGGAAACGTGGCCACACCGCTTTCCCAAGGACAAATTCGCAAGTAAGAAAATTTCTCAGGCCTTGGTCTTTGCTTTGTGTCATATTATAGAACATTCTCACAGTTGAACACAGTGGATGGCAACATTTATCATGTCCAGTGAGGTTTAAAAAAAATTGCACGTACTGACCATCCTTGAGAATAGTTTATAAAAAGCCAGGCTGGCAAGAGTTTGGTGCTGCAAACGTTCCCTGCTCCTGGCAGCAGCCTGGGCGCTCTCAGGCACAGTGAGCGCTTGCTGTTCACCCAACTGTCTGCAAGAGCAGAGGCCATGCACATGCGAGAGCGGGTTGTTTAGTTCTCCTTAAGCTCCAAGACACTTGCCAATACGTTAAGCATTTGAGGCCAGCATTCCTCAGGTTGTTCATGCATTTCATACCGATTAGTAATTCCTGAAATCAAAAGTGTTTTTTTTTTAACACAAGGTGATTAATGATGCAGGAATTATGACCCTCTGGTGCCAACAGCTAGTCTTGCCAGCATTGGATTAATTAAAAGAGAAGTTACTTTTTCATTCAGGGATGTGACATAATTCTCATTATTAAAACAACTAAGTACAAAGGTGAAGAACCTAATGTAAAATTCACAGCAAGAGCTAAAGGGATTATATTTCATATTTAAGTCTTCACCTGCTGCTGGTCACTGACAAGTCTCACTCTGTCCAGCCTCAGGGCCGAGGAGAATTGACTCCCTGGACCGGTTCCTCATCCAGGGCTCGAGTGCAGCGTTGGGGCCTGAGGGGCCGCCCTCAAGGTCGGCCTTTCTTCTGCAGACAGAGCCTTGGCTCCCTGCACTCCCCGGCCTGCGGCTCTCCTGAGTGCAGCAGCCTTGCTCTCTGGCTGTCCAGGCTGCCCACTTCTGCTTTGCCCAAGGTACAGAAATTTCCAGAAAGAGCAC